CGGCAGGTGTATATAAAGTGAATTGTCCGTTAATAAACTGTTTAAGAGGAGTGATCAGAGCGGTCTGTGTCATCAGCGCTGTGTCTCTCTCCCAGCCAGCTCCCAGATCAGCTTCTCTGATTGGTTGACGCGGCGCGTCAAGCAGCAAAAATAAAATTTTTCCATCTCGAGCAGCAACGCGTCACGCGCGTCAGATGCTTAAACGCGGCCGACGCGCTGCTTCAGCTGCTCAAAATGCGCCGTGGGACCTTTTGCTGCGCCTTGACACGCGTCAACCATTGACTTTGCATGTAAACTCGCTGCTTGATGTTCTGCTAGATGTCCTGGTACGTGATGCACACCTTCCAGAAACTTCCACATCTGTCTTGTCTATCCGAGAACATGAATCCACAAGCTTTTTGTTAGTTAGTGGATGTGGAGAAAGTAAGGCCTGCTAACTTTTAAGATGTTCTTGTTGTGTTGTTTTTCTTTTGACCTCCTGGATGAGTCGTTGATGCACCCTTTGAGTAACTTTGATCGGCCAACCAGGGAATGACAACTTTAACAATAGGAGCTAAATTCCTTTTCAGTTTTCTTTGATTTTTTTAGTTTGAGACATCATTTAAGTTTTGAGAATTTTTAGGCTATTTTATGTTCCGTCTGTCATGATCGTAGCACTGATGACTGGCTTAATGGTTTGTTCCCTTCACCTGCCTTGCTGTGCCCAGTTTCTCATCACTTTTCACCTTATCCACCTGCTCCTGTCTATATTTAAACTGCTTGCTCCCAGTAATCAGTGCCAGATTAATTAAGTTTTCTGTGAGAGTTCTCTAGTGTACCTGCTGTACTGATTGCCTGATCCTAACCAGTTCTGCCCTCAGACCTATGGGCTTGCTTGTTCCTGTTTCAAATTTGTTTGTTGTTGTTAGCCATTCGGCCAGATTCTACTCCTCCTTCTGTGTACAGAGGGTACGGAAAGTATTTAGACCCCTTTACATTTTTCACCCTTTGTTTCATTGCAGCCACTTGCTAAAATCAATAAAGTTGATTTTATCTCTCATTAATGTACACTCAGCGCCCAATCTTGACAGAAAAAAAAAGTAGAAATGTAGAATTTTTTCAAATTTATTAAAAAAGATCACATCAACATAAGTGTTCAGACCTGTTGCTCAGTATTGAGTAGAAGCACCCTTTTGAGCTAGTACAGCCAAGAGTCTTCTTGGGAATGATGTAACAAGTTTTTGCTTTGGACCTGCCCTATCCACTTAAAAAAAAAAAAAAAAACCCTCCCATGAGGAAACGACTAATAAACGCATGCAAGAGCATGAACAAGCCCATTTCTCATTATGCACGCTCTGTTTAAAATTTCTGTTTGCATTACTCATACAAGCTTACTTTGGGAAAGAAGATTTTGACTTTTTCTACGATGTCGAGCACATAGGACAGCCTTACGTAAACATATCACCAGAATGATTGGCAACTAGGAGGACCACTAATTTTGATGATCCACCCGGAAAAAGAACATCCTTCACTATACCTTTACAGTTCAACCAAAGTTTTTTTCCGAATGAATGATCACAGAAGCAGTTTGTTTCTGAAAAATGATAGACATACACCTCTATTACTACATTACAGATCTTCACAACCCAACCTGATACGTGATAAGAAAGAAGAAAAATCAAAGAAATCCCCCATTGACCGCCGACCCTAACATACGTGCCAATTAGTTTTGCATGCCTTCTATTATGAATCTAAGACATCCCAAAGTCACTTTGAAAACTGAACTCCTGCATCTACAGTTTACCGTTTGGTGTCTTTGGAAGAACCTTGGCGGTTTTGTGTTGGTTTGAAAAATCTAATGGAGCAGGAAGTATGTCTAAAGATGACACACTTTGCTAATTTACATTCAAGATATGCAGCTCATCTATGTAGAAGCTTTTTGTAATGGAGATTTAGAAACTTCAAAGTTCTTTTCATGTCGCCATTCTGGTATTTTTGCATCTGCCCTGTAGGTACTACAGATTCCCAGTGAGTGATCTTTATGAACATGAAACATTTGTCCCAATTTCAAACCTCATGCTTCTCTGAATCACATGAGGAGGCCGAAGGGGCTCTGCAAAGCTTTTGCATACCTTGTATGAGCACAAGTCCTCCTCCTCACAATCAGAGTCGCTGCAATAAGGGTCGTCACTGGTGGTCCATTTCAGGGCCTCTTCCCTTTTCCAGAAATCACAAACGGGAACATTTCGGGGTGCCTGTGTATGATAAATTGTACAACAAGCAGTGAGAAGTCACACTTCAAGGACTCTTTTATAATGTACTGCCTTGTAAAAAACAGACCTAGTTCATAACTAGATCTCTGTTCTCATCCTATAAGAATCCAGCAGCATAAATACAACCTTGTTCCGAGTGCCTTAACCTCACATGATGAATTTGCTAACAAGAGGTGTGAAAATACAAATAGGCTGACTTCTAAAAATGTGAAAGTTTTGTGAATTCTTTCTAAATACCTAGTGCTCTGTGCAAATGCTTTAAAACAGATGTTTCTGTTGTTTATCTTATATTATTCATAGTTTTGCAGACTTTATGGAAATATTAATTTCAAGTCTAAACCATGCAAAACCCTTTTACTCATTTCTAAAATTACACTGGAGGAAAACGGAGGTTACATGGTTGGTTTGCTTTTATCTTTCCTTATAATTTCAATTTGATTCAAAAACTCTTATTACTTCTGCTGCGCCAGATATCACACTAGCTTCACGATGCTAGGTCACCCTGACAACTTATGGTCAACCCTGCTCTTTGAGATAGATGGAAGTCAGCAGTGTGTAAAAAAACAAAAACCTTGACAAGAGTACAAAACTAGCACAAAGCTGAAAGCTGAAAAAAAGGCAAGCAGGCAAATGTTGACAAGGAAGATGGTTGTAGATTTGATGAAAAATGGGAATATGTTTTCAGCATGCATGAGAAGTATAAAAATATAGGTGTTAACTAAGACAACAGACCATAGGTGTTTTTAGATAATTTTTGGAGGTGGTGAAGCACTCCTAAATTGAATCAATAAAATCTGAGTAGTTTTTTATTTATTTTGTATGTGCTTTCTAACATAAAAGTCTAAAAACTATACAGTACTTGGTTTAAAAAGTTATATGTTAACCAGTTTTGTTTTGAACAGCCATCTTAGATTTAGTATTCAGGACGAAAATATATTATTAGTCTTAGTCACATTTTAGTCATTACAATATGTGATAGTTTTAGTCGGACTAAAACTTAAAAAGGTTTTAGGTTAGTTTCAGTCAGTTTTATGTTGCAAAAAAAAGTTAGCCTTTACAATTTCGAAAAACAACCACATACTTTACCAGACTGACAGCTCTTGCCTAGATACTACAATAGCTGGGTATTGAATGCTGCCATGCAGTTTATCATTGCTGTTGGGCAGAGAACTTTGATTTATAGAATTTGAATTAAGTTTTTATGAATTGATGCCCTACATTATACAAAGATGTCTCACAAAAGTTGTGAAAATAGCAGATCTAGTTCTACACATCTTGTTGAATATAGCAGACAGACAAGCTAACAAAATGTTCAATAAAGGAATGGTTTTATACAGACAAGGTTTCTATCTTAAAGCAAATACTTCCTGATCTACTATAAATTATGCATTACACACAGATCAATAAAATCTTCATTACTACAAAAATAACAAAGAACAAAAATGTTCTTCTTTCTACCTTGGCAATTTTGGCTTTATGTCTTCAATTTGCTCCTCGATTGGATTTAAATTCACAGGGCTTTGATATAAAAAATAAGGAGAGAACCTACATAATTGCCTTGTAATTCCATGGCAAGCCCTACCTAAATTTAATGAATATGTTAACTAAAATGTTGAAATATTTAAAGGAAAGAGAGAAAATATTTTCATGACTATTCAAGGAAATACTTATGATACATTCAGACCACAAGCAGCAGAGGCAGCAAAAATGAGCATGCTGCTTCATTTTTGATGCTTGTACAAGTTTAGTTCTGACGCGTGACTGAAGCATCTTTGCTGCTCTGGCTGCGTGGTTGAAAAGTGGGCTTAATGCGCGTTGGGTGGAGCTACCCTATCCCTTCTTTGCTTTTAATATGGCAGCTATATTTACCATTTTAAGTGGGTAAAAGTAATTTTAATGTTTTTAAGTAAAAAAATCCACCTGAAAACTGTGCAGTCAGTTCATCAAGATTACTATCCAGCCGTCAAATATTATTTTGCTGTCAGAGCCGCTCAGACCCCCGTACACACCGGTGGAGGTCTGGGAATCCCCTTCAACAGCAGCCTCTGGACCGGTCGCCTCTTCACGGTTTTCCACTACTGCTTGTGGCAGCTGGAAGGCGTTTTTCACGTGTGTAATCCAAACTGCAGGCACCAGCATAATGAAAGCGAACATATTTTGCTGGCAGGTTTTGAAATTTTAAGTTAATTTAGGTGTTAATAAACTGTTTCAGAGGAGTGATCATAGGATTGTGCATCAGCAGTGCTGTGTCTGTCTCTCAGCCAGCTCCCAGATCATCATCTCTGATTGGTTAAGGTTACGCGTCGAGCAGCAAAAGTTCAATTTGTCCAACTCTAGCAGAGGCAGCAACCCTAACAGCTCAAGAGCGTCATGTGCGTCAGATGATCAGAAGCTCGTGAGGTGTTGCTCCTGCTGCTCAAAACGCGATGTGGGACCTTTTGCTGCATCTTGATGCGCTTCAACCATTGACTTTGCATGTAAACCAGCTGCTTCTGCTGCCTCTTCTGCTTGAGGTCTGAATCTAGCATTACATCATATATAAACAGATAGAAAAGATAACAATGAGAAAGAGATATTTAAAGATCTATGTAGCTTTTCACCTGGCTCTTTATCCAAAAACAAAAAGGATGTAATTAAATATTTTCTTTTAATATAATTTAGGGATCCCTTTTGGTAGAAATTAAAGAATGTTTAGCATCACCTCTTCTGAGCTGAAAGAAATAAAATCTTAATAGTTAAACAAAAGGATTTTTTACACTTGACAGAAGATGATCAGCCACATAATCTATTAAGTAGTGAGAGCAAGCCATCGGTGTGGAGCATAAAGCGCAGACACTGAGCTAAGCGTGCACAAAGACGCATTTCTGCACAAGTACAGCTGGAAGAACAGTTTGTCAAGAGTTTAGCGCGCAGTGCCGCGTTGTCAGACACCCAGACCATTCTGGATTGTTTTCACCCCGCCGCTGCTGCCATGATCCATCTGTGGTCATGCAGAATGAGCACTGCTGCACGGCAGGTGTGCTGCATGTTCAAACAGGATGCAGCAGCACGACTGATACTGCTTAGCAGATTTCACCACAATGATGACCAACTACCTGCTAATTTTTATTTAGTCTCGTTGACTAAAACTCCCACCCATAACTCTCGTTTTTGTCAACTAAGATCCATGTTTAGCTAGTCAGTTCTCGTTATTGTCATGAAAAAAGGAGCATCAACAAAATTATTTTGCCATTTTCATTGTTGACGACAACAACACTGATGTTAACCCTCCCCACTGCCTAGGACATGGTTTGATCCATCATCCTCCTTTCCCAGACTCTGGGAGATCTACAGTCATGGCCAAAAGTTTTGAGAATGATTCGTATGTTATTATTTACCAAGTCTACTGCTTCAGTTTTTATAACAGAAATTTGCATATACTCCAGAATGTTATAAAGAGTGCTCAGCGTAACAGCAATTAATTGCAAAGTCAATATTTGCCTAGAAAATGAGCTTTATCCCCCAAAACACATTTCCACATCATTGCAGCCCTGCCTTAAAAGGACCAGCTAACATCGTTTCAGTAACATTTTGAGGGAAATTACCGCAATCAGGTGTATTTGGACATTTTCGGTCAGATTTCTGGTTGGTGAAATGGTCACGAGCGAGGTGCTCTAATGTGTCTGGGACTGTTTTGTTTGCTTGTTTTGTATTATCTTTAAAACCACAATTCAAAATCAATATTTCCATTTACAAAATCATAAGTTAATAGATTTTATATATGATTTTTTTCAGTTTCTTGTCAATTGAATTACTGTTTTGGATTTTGCTTTTTCTTTAATGGGAATGTTTCTAAAGTTTCAAGCACAACTGTATATATTCCACTAGTTAAATACGATCTATTGTATGATTGCCAGTCAAAAGAGGGAGAGCTGTACAAAGGAAGGAGAGGAGCAAGGTGTGTGCAAAACGGAAGGTCAGGATGAACCAAGTAAGAAAATGAACAGAACAGCTGCATGTCAAACAGCTTACAGAGAAAATCATTTAAGTCAGTAAATCATTTTAAATACATCATGGAAGTTATGTGATTACCCAAAATTAAATGCTTCTTTCTGTTTATTATGTTTTCCTACTTGTTTTAATACTTGCTTAATTTCAATATACAATGAGGAGAAGAACAAAACTGAGGGAGATAGGCAGATCAGACAAGTGAGGGAGAATAAAGAGCAGCATACCAGACACCAAGCTGAAAATCTCAATCTCAAAATCTGCCTTTTGATTTAGGGGATAAATCTACTGGTCCTAAACAGTTAAAACTGTTTTAGTACCCATTCTTAATTTAATTAAATGCTTCTTTATGCTTTGCTTGTTGGGTAGGTTACCAAAGTGCTCAGATAATATGCATATATGTAGTCAGTAATTGGCAAAACACATTGAGCAAGTTTCAAAAAATGTAGAAAAGATGCATCTAGTGCCTGGCCAAACAGCTCTCTGTGTGCTCAGCCCCTCTAAACATCTGATCCTACAATGACCTCTGCAACAGAACAGACTGGAGATGCAGTGACTGAGTAGACTGTAGTTACACTATATTACCAAAGTATTCCCTTACCTGCCATGACTTACATATGAGCCTAACATTTCTAATGCCTATCACAGTTCCATGCTGGCAGTCACTGAGCTCATAAGAGCGACCCACTCTGGCATAAATGTTTTTGACAACAGATTGCATACCTTATTGCTGGATTTAATACATTTGTGACCATGGAAGAGGTTGGAACACCTGATTCCAATAATTTGGATTGGTGAGAAAATGCATATAGCAATATAGAGCAGTTAGCAGCAAGATGTTGCAGACATTTAATCACTTAGTTGCTTAACAGAGCAGCCTGATCTGCTGTCATCTGCTGATGCAGCAACACCAGTCCAATGACTAAAGAGCTTAACCACCTGATAAGGAAGGTTTTATCTGGTCCACAGTTCATTGTTCAATGAAGAACCTTCCATAAAATAATGAGCAAATTTGACAACCCTTATGTTTTTTTTCCCTTTCTTTAATAAGTATAGCATCATGGCAGAGAGAGAACTTCAGCCACAGTCATTGCAGCACCTTCCATCTGACTAGGAGGAGTAAAAAGTCTATGTAGATCAAGTTTTGTACACACAATATGAAACAGGCCAAAGCTTCTCTTCAGATTCTCTTTGTTCTTTTAAAATCACTTCCTTGTACCTGATCATAGCTAGAAATAATGGTGCTTAAAATCAAGTGAAGAAAAAAAAAAAAAACAGATGTGAGGCTACAACAGAATACCTGGAAGGGGTCTATTAAACTTATCAAGATTACATAAGTTGTCTTAGGCTGTATTTTTCTGTTAACAAAACCTAGCGAAAAACAGGCCTAAATTGTGCCTTTTTGCAGGGCTTACAGTCGAGTAAGGGCAAAGAGGCCCAAAAAAGTTCATTTAAATTCTTTTTAGTTTTTAAATACCCACAGGTGAAAGTTAAATGGAGAACAAGCAAACATTGCAGGGAAAATGATCAGAAAGTATAATGAAAATGAGGTGAAAATGAGCCAAAGAACAAAGAAAAGATAATAGACTTTTAGAAAGCCTCTAGGATTATTGATCAAGAACATTTCATTAGATTACAAAAAGTCTGATTCATTGGGAAAATAATATAAAAAAAATGAAGGATGACTGGTGATTTTCTCTTCTTCATGGTGCTCTAAGTCAAAGGAGTTCAAATAAAAATGCCTGCAGAGCCATAACAGAGAAATATCACTAAATAAATAAAAACAAGATAATTTCCAAACGAGTGTAAATCAAACACTAAGAGCTGGAGGCAACATAAAAAATTTATTTACAGATAAAACAAACTGGAGATCTGAATTTTTAATAAGGAATTAACTTCAGGCAATAAAAAATGTTTGAGCAAGACACAAAAACTGTCTTTTTTTACAGTCTGATGTTAAAACAAAAACCTTTACCTTTTTTGGATCATATAGTAAAACAGAGTTCTATTGCCATACTGAGAATCTAAACTTTTTTTATTAACAAAAAGTAAGTAATAATATTATATGAATAAATTCACAACACTAAAATAATTTTTATTTTAGTGTTTTATTTTATTTTATTATATTACAATATTTAAAAGTTGTCTACTTTTACTTAAACTCTTACAAGAAAGCGCAGCCTTCCTCCTTTGTTAAAATACCGCAGAAGGCTGCAGTTTGGATGATCACATCAAATCTAGATAAATATCAAGGCTTTCTTCTCTTTTAAACAACTTTTCACTCTCTGCATTTAACCCATGCCTTTTTTGCACATTCAGCGTCTGCTCTGCCGATAATGCAAGCGTAGAAGAAGAAATGTGCTGTTTACCTGTGCAAAGAAAGAAACAACGAAAGAAAAATGTCTG